TATTATTATTATTATTATTATTATACAAACAGCAAAACACGTGCTCTTTTCAGATTCTAATATATAAATATATACTTTAAAGCAAATTGAATGCAGGATATGACCGGAGTGAACGGGTGGAACCGTATGCTGCTTGTGTCTTCTGGATAAAGTCCAAAGGGTCTCGGAGGGATACAGGGAGCTTTTGGTAGCCGTGCGGCAGCTGCGTGGCTGGCATCCCCCCGAGATCATTCCCAGCAGGTGCATGACGGCAGTCGGCTCTTGGCTCGGCCGGAGACACAGACATTCTTACGTTTCTCGGCTTGGCACTGCTCCCCGCTGCAGTGCAAGGAGGGGAAAGGGCCCTGGGGAGGGGCCGCGGCTCAATGTTAGAGCATCTGCTTGGCCTGCAGAAGGTCCCAGGTTCAATCCCTGACATTGCAAGATGAAAGTATCAAGCAGCAGTTGGTGATGTGAAAGACCTCTCGGTCTGAGACCCCGGGGAGCTGCTGCCGGCCTGGGTGGACAATGCTGACTTTGGTGGTCCTGACCAGTGTTCCCTCTAAGCTGAGTTAGTGTGAGCCAGCTCACAGTCTTTAGCCTCCGGCTCACACATTTTTGTCTCAGCTCAGGGAGGAGGGCTCCAGAGCAAACTAATCTATGCAGTGGCCAGATTGTCCGCTCACAACATTAATGCCAGGAGCTCACAAAGCAGAATTTTTGCTCACAAAGACTCCACAGCTTAGAGGGAACATTGGTCCTGACCTGGATAGCCCAGGCAAGCCCGATCTCGTCAGATCTCCGAAGCAAAGCAGGGTCGACTGTGGTTAGTACCTGGATGGGAGACCTCCTTGGAATACCAGCAGTCGGGAGGCGGGGGCAGGCTTCATTCGGCCACCTCTCTGAATATCCTCCAGGCCCCCAGTAGGGGCCAGTCTCCAGATGCCGCCATGACTTCCAGGCGCACAGTTTGGTGTAGTGGTTAAGTGTGTAGACTCTGATCTGGGAGAACCGGGTTTGATTCCCCACTCCTCCACTTGCACCTGGCTGGATGACCTTGGGCAAGCCGTAGTTTTGATAAGAGCTGTCCTTGAAAAGGAGCCGTTTCTGTCAGAGCTCACTCAGCCCCACCTGCCTCACAGGGTGTCTGTTGTGGGGAGGGGGGGGGAAAAGGGTTTGTAAGCCGCTCTGAGACACCTTTGGGTAGTGAAGGGCGGGATATAAATCCAGTCTCTTCTTCTCTTCTTCTTCATATACATACAAAATACCCCCCCCCCAAAAAACCCACCACTTACTTTGATGGACGAACAGTCTGATTCAGTATGAGACAGTTTCACGTATTCTCATGTGAAAAGCTCCCCTTTCTTCGACAACTAAAATCAAAGCATCTCTTCTCCAAAGCAAAGAGCTGGTCCTGGCTTTTCTCTCTGTTGG